CTTTATTATTGTGGTAAAATACACAACATAAAATTTACCATCTTAACCATTGTAAGTGTACAATTCAGTGGTACTGAATACACTCTCGATATTGTGCAACCATACCACAACCCATCTCCGTTGCTCTTTCATCTTAAAACACTGAAACTCTATAACCAGTGAAAAAAAATACCCTGCAAATTAATGCAGGTGAAATAAAGACATTTCCAGGCCAACATCCACTCTGTCTTTGAACCACACCACCACGTCATATTACTGTGGCCTCTGCATCTTTTCTCTGCCACGGACACCCTTCCGTTCCATGAACTGATTTCCTTCTTTAGGAATCATGTACCGACTCTGAGTGACCTGGTAGGACACATCTTAAATGCAATTGCCAGAAACTTACAAAAGGGCTCCCATGACCTTCTACAGCTCTCCAATGGCTCCTGCTCTTTCCACTGTTAGTGATCTCCTCCGATTTCTATTCGTCTCAGTCTCCTTAGTGCTCAGCGGCACCTGGTAGACAGCCACCCTCTCTCACAGACGCTCTCTCACTGACTCCCTCACGGTTGCTCTCTGCCTGATAGGACTCTTGGTTTCTTGGTTTGTTTTCGGTTGCTGGTTTGTACCCCACTTTGCTAGTTCTTGGGAGATACCATGGGTTTGCTAGAAGCTACTTTGTCAGCCAGAAACAATAGTTCACATAAACAGTAGTTTATTCTTCATATTAATACTGTTTTCTGGGTAGTGTATTATACAGAATTCGACTACCTGCCTCAGAATTAGAGTGCCATTGCCAGTTTAGTGGGTAGGCTGCCTGGACCAGTGGAGGTGCCAGGGGCCCTGGGCTTCCATTGGCCTGACCACCCTGCCCTTCGCCTTCCGTTTTCCGGTAGATGTGCCTCCTTGCTTCCATTTTGTAGTGTTCTGTATTTATTTTAGCATGAAGGCACTAGTTCAATCAAGTCTTTGAGTGGATGAATATTTTAATATAGATAGTAAAAATATAATAAGCTACTAATATTCAAATTTTATATTAAAAGAGTGCAATAATAGAAGGCACAGTGAAACCTAAGCTTTAAAAATCTGTATTTATAAGAATCAAGAAAAAATGTCTGATAAAAAGCTATTACAAATATCATGGTTTGTCTTTTATTTTACCTTTATTTCATCTTCACTAATAAGCATTGGTTAGCCGGGTCGGTGTGGCTCAGTGGTTGAGCATCGACTCATGAACCAGAAGGTCATGGTTCAATTCCTGGTCAGGGTCAGGGCACATGACTGGGTTGCAGGCTTGATCCCCAGTAGGGGGCGTGCAGGAGGCAGCCAATCAGTGTTTCTCATCATTGAAGTTTCTATCTCTTTCATCCTCTCCCTTCCTCTCTGAAATCAATAAAAAATATATATTTTTAAAAAGCATTGTTTAAATGTATCATTTATGGTTGATTGTGGAGAAAATGAAATAATGTGTTAAAAACTATCTACATTATAGTTTTGAGTATAATCATAAACATAACTATTAAGAATATAAGTGTATTATTAACGTAATTCACATTTATAAGTGAATTATCAACATCCATATACCTTAACCTGAGAATCAGACATTAAATCCAGAATTAGCAGCAATACTCCCAGATTCCTTTTTTCATCCCTCTTCACTTTGCTATTGTAATGAAAGGCTCTGGGGGCTAAGATATGTCTAATAATGTGTTTGATGGGAAAGAACTGCTACATAGTCAAGGAGGGAGGGCCCATCTTAGACTTGTGTTTTCACCTTATCCTCTGTGTTAACCGTAAGGATGCCCCTGGCAGACCTCCAACTAGAGGGAACTGGAATGACCAGGGGCCCCTGCCTCTGTGCTCTGTGATCGGGGCTGCTCTGCAGGTAGGGCCCGGGAGGAGCAGGATGCCCTGGGAGGCAGGAACCACTCTGCGGGCCGACTGGCTCGAGCACCTTCTCTCTGGTGGTTGTGCTGAGCCTTCCCCAGACTGCCAGCAATCCAGGAGGATCCTACCGAGCCCCCCACTCTGTCCTCCACTCAGGAGGGGGCAGCCGATCAGTGATTCTCTTTCATCATTGATGAGTCTCTCTCTCTCTCACTCTCCCTTTCTGAAATCAATAAAAAAATATATTTTTTAAAACAAAATAAAAAAGATACTATCAGATGAAATTACTAAGGAGAGAAAGGGTATTTACTATAATTTACTATAATTTAATTATTTACTATAATTTCATGGCAATAATATGCTATTACTGTTAGATATTTAAATTTAGGAAAGTTAAAACTTTATGTAATTGAGAGCTAGTCACTCAGAATTTTTTTTTTCATGGCAGTTTATTGATTGTCTGGGTATGTGTAAACTTGCTTTCGGCAGGGCTGAATTATTACAGTTCTAAAAAGTGTTTTAAACATGGTTGATTTACTCAGGAAGACTGGATGGCTGTGAGGTATCAAGCGGTTCTTAAGCCATGTTCAAGATATCTAAGGATATTTAATAAATTAGAGGTGCATATCTGAGGGTGTGTTGATAACTGACATATTGTAGAAAAGCAGAATAATTCGATATAATAGGTATAACAGATGGTTGTTGTACATATTTGGTAACCCTTGCTTTCAATGTATATGATTTCTACAAGAGTGCCTATATTTTATGGATTAGTGATAAATCGTCCTTTTTCTTGCAGAATCAGAGTGAAAGATTCGTTTTCATCACAGAGTGGTACGATCCAAACGCTTCGCTTTTTCGACGGTATGAGCTTTTGTATTACCCAGGGGACGGATCTGTTGAAATGGTAAATGAGCCTTTCTTTGCTTGGAAGTGGGCAAGGGAGCCAGGGTGGGGTAGGGAGAGGAACGGGCTTGCCTTTTAGATAGTGTGTCCAAAATACTTTCACCTGTACATTTTTAATGGGGATTCTTTTCTGGTATTGTAATTCCAGTTTATTTTTAAATGTCGAAAAATAGGAATGAACATTTTTTTGGTTAGAGAACTGAGTGGAATTATCCATGTTTTGGATGAAGTGATAGCAAGTAGCTTTAGGGCAGTGATGGCGAACCTATGACACGCGTGTCAGAGGTGACACTCGAACTCATTTTTTTGGTTGATTTTTCTTTGTTAAATGGCATTTAAATATATAAAAATATAAATTTTTGTTTTACTATGGTTGCAAATATCAAAAAATTTCTATATGTGACACTGCACCAGAGTTAAGTTAGGGTTTTTCAAAATGCTGACACGCCGAGCTCAAAAGGTTCGCCATCACTGCTCTAGGGAAAGCTGGTCATGGTCACACATATGTCCCCATTATTGAAAGCTGTCATCTCTGCACCAGGCCCGACTGAAGAAGGTCGAGCTGAGGTCCCTTCCTTGGCAGCCCCTTTGACGGGCGACTGCCTTTGGCATTGGAGGTTTGTTTAGGCGAGAAAGCAGGCATTGGAGTTTCTCTGGGATGTCAGAGGTAGTGGCTTGCTGAGCTGATTCGTCAGTAAACCCATCTTTACAGTCAGGGTTTTCTTAAAGTAGTACGTTTGTAAGGAGAATTTCTTATGTTATTACCGGAGTAGACTCTGAAATACAGACACTATAAAAGAAATTACAGTCTGCCTTTGTAGCGAAGTGAAGCAGAATGTAGCCTGTGTTTAATAAAGTAGCAGGAAGGGCTCTTCCTAGTCTCGGAGAAGAGGAACATCCCCTCTGATGGCTGGTGTCGTTCGGCTCTAGCACGACGTGAAGAACCGCCGCACCTTCCTGAGGCGGACCAGGTATGACGGCCTCCACCTGGACGATCTGTTCATCGGCAACAAGGTGAACGTCTTCTCCCGGCAGCTGGTGCTGATCGATTACGGGGACCAGCACACAGCTCGCCAGCTGGGCAGCAGGAAAGAAAAGTAAGGGAACCTGCGATCGTCTTTTCTTTTCATTCTGTAAACGTTGACTGGGGACCACACTTTGTGGTGGTTTTATTTTGGTTTTTTTCTATCTTGTTTTTACAGTGTAGACATTTTTCAGCGATCCCGTTCAGTGTTGAGACACTTTTAGAATTCTATGGACCGGATTCTGTGATTTCCTCTCCCCTGGCTACCAGGGTGATGCCCATAGTCTTAGGCAGTGATTCTTTCCTGCAGGAAAGAAAATACAAACTTTCTCCACCTTCAGCAATCGTAGTAGCATACGTCCAACTGGAAACAACATTGGAATAGAAAAGGTTTTGGTGTATGGGATAAGCATGGCTTATGGGGGGAAAGTGGTACCTTAAGCTCTAGACCAGTGGTTCTCAACCTTGGCTGCACATTAGAAGCACCTGGGAATCCTTTTAAAATCCTGATTTCTGGGCCTCATCCTCCGGAAATTCTGTTTCTTTGTTATGGGGTGGGGCCACAACATTAGTAACAAAGAAACAGAATTTCCGGAGGATGAGGCCCAGAAATCAGGATTTTAAAAAGATTCCCAGGTGATTCTAATATGCAGCCAAGGTTGAGAACCACTGCTCTAGACTTTCATTGGTAGATAAGTACATGTACATTTAAATATGTTGTGTTGTTGGTATTTTTGTACATATTTCTACCATTTTACTCCTCTTTTCTTTTTTAGTTGAGATCTAGGTTTGTGTCTATCAGGTCAAATTTGTGATTGTGGTGTTCACACCTTTCACATAGTCACGAATTTTCCCCCAGCTAATTCCATCTATTACCAAAGTTTTGTCAAAAATGCCCCACTATACTTGTCATCTGTCTACTTTTCCTCATAGTTATGTTCATCTTTATGTTGTAATTTTGAGGGTATGTCACTAGGTTTTTAAATCGTTAAATCTTCTTGGAAAATTGAACTTTTGCTATTATGAAGAGATGGTCCTTATCTCCAGCGATGGACTTAGCCTTGAAGTCTCCCTGGTGATGCAGTAGCTGCCCTGGCTTTCCTCAAATGATGTTGGCATGGTCTGCCTTCTTTCATCCTTTTGTAAATTTAATTAATTAATTAATTTATTTATTTATTTATTATTTTAATCCTCACCTAAGGATATTTTTTCCATTGATCTTTAGAGAGAAAGTGGAAGGGAAGAGGGAAGGGTGAGAAAGAGCGAGAGAGAGGGAGAGAGCAAGCAAGAGAGAAACACTGATGCAAGACACACCGATTGGTTGCCTCCCACATGTGCCCCCACTGGGGATGATTGCCACGTGTGTATGTGTGTGGGATACCTGTGTATTGTATGTTGTTATGTGAAATAGTTGAGATACAGGGTGAAGTGAAGTTCCTTCTGGGAGGGACTGTTGCCAGGAGGCACTGTAGCAACCTGGAGGACCGCTGAGTTCACAGTTGGAACTTCCCAGACCACCTGGGTGAGGGGACTTGTGCTGCCAGACCATTCCAGCCCTTCTACCTGTTCACCCTCAGAGTGGAGCCGCCCGTCCTCTCCCCCGCCCCCCAGATTACTGCAGAGCATCCTCTGTGGGGTCTGCTCCCTTCCCCCAGGGACCTGGGAGTTTAAAGTTCAGATCCACCCAGCAGGCGGTGCTGCCAAGTTAATGCAACTTTCATTCCCATTTTTCTGAGTCCCCATTTTTCTTTCATTTTCATAGCAATAATTGTTTAATACCCAGTCAGTTTATCTTTGCTTTAGAAAAATACTTTGTCCTTATTTTTAGTTTTCCATGGAAGGATGGCTCTGAATAGCTTTGCATTGGTGTGCGTGGAAAGCTCTGGCTCTCCCCTCCCCTCCAAACCACAGCTGTCTCACAAGACTTCTCCTTCCCCCTGGGCAAGCACACACTCCAGACAAAACTTACAAGAAACCGTAATTGGGCCTAGGGTTGCTGTTTTAGGACGGGTTCTTCATGCTTAGGGAGAGGATGAGTACCTTTGGAAATGCTCATGTAAACGAATGCGGTTAAAGTTGACACCGGCGTTCCTGCAGGTGGGCAGCATCCAGGATGTCGATGGGACAGTGTGCGATTGGCCATCTTCATCGCGTCCATACTTACCATTTTCGTTCTGAGCCTGAAGGTGTAGGAAGAACATACTTTCTGCATGACTGTGAGAATTATCGCTTTTCAGAAACCCCTAGCCTGCCTGAGTCTGGTGAAGGCTGGCCAAACTTTTTCAACTCGCCACTGCTAAGAAGTTTTAATGTCAAAGGACGGTTTTCATCTTTCTTGGTTTTCTAAGAGCATGTCATGCTGTGTGCTGCAGAGCTTGCCTCAGAGCAGGTGAGGGGAAGGTCATTACAGTGATGCCCCAGGGAGCCACCCTTCCAGGCTGGCTGTCCCTCTCACCTTGACTCTGGGCTTCACTGTGTGTCTAGCATTGGCCAAAGAGACAGCAGCAAGTGTGCTCAAGGGGATGCTTGCTAAGTGCAGGTACACGGGACACTGCAGCTGTGCACGAAGAAGCCCGGCCTGGCCTCCTTAAGGATGAAGGGCCACAAGGAAGGAGAAGCCTCGCCCCCAGCAAGCCCCCAGCCAGACGCAGCTGCGTGAGCAACCCCAGGTGAAACCACTGCCCAGCCAACCCACAGGATCCTGAGGAAGAGGTTTAAGCCGTTGCATTTGGGGTGGTCCTCCTACAGCCGCAGAAAGCAAGGCACTGTTCATACTGGTGCCATCTTCACTCTTAAATGACGCACATGATTGCTGATGCCCGTCTTATTTTCCCTCCAAAGTACATTTTAATTGTCATCTACGGAACAGTTAAGCAGAAAAGATATGACCGGGCTTTAGAGTTTTAATTGCAGTAAGCAACCCTTTGTCTCCTGTGGGCATTGAAAGAAAAATCAGACTGCATCTTAAACTAAGTCCTGTCCGTTTCGTGTTTTTCATGTTGCTTCTTGTTCGCAGAAAATGATGAGTGCTGATGTGTCTGTGTTTCAAGAGCTGTGGTTCGCAAAAGTTCTCCTAGAGTTCAGCATAGACAGTTGATGGGTTTGGCTTGTCATATTTAAATAATGTGAGCTAAAAAGGGACTCATTTTCATTGTGTTCAATGAAGCCATATGATATAAAATACTGTAGGAGACTCATCTGCTTCAGAACAAAGAAGAAAGTTAGTCTGGTGCTGCTGGCACTGCACAGACCAAGATGAATAATTTGTTTTTCAAAAGTTTTAACCTCCAGCCATAGGTTACATCCAGCTGTAAGACTGTTTGAATCATGGGAGCCTCAGCCAAGTGCGTCTCATTGGAGAAAAAAAGCCCAGCCAATCTCCATTTGTGGATCTGTGAGTTAATGTCGTGTCGTACAACTGAAAATAAAGTGGAAGTGGCTGCTGTTCTTGACCATAATCTTGTGTCATATACACTGAGTGACTCCCACCGCTCTGATTTTCATCTTGCATTTGTAATGATTTCCAAATCAATGTATAGCGTCCATGTTAAAGCCAATGAGACCAGAAATCAAGCTGGCAATAGGAGCCTTCAGGGTGTTGTGAGGATGTTCCTTTTAACAACATTAAGCGTGACAGCATCTGTGGTGCGGGAAAAGTGCAGACTGGGAATGTCCTCAGGTGGGTGTTTTGTTCTGAAGATGCCACTGACCAGCTTTGAGATCTTAGCCAAGTTGCCTTTCTGGGCCCAGTTTTCTCATTAGTAAAATGAGGGCACCCAGGTGATCTCCATCGTCAAATATCCGTTAGTCCTGTGGCTTCGGAGGGGAGTGCATTGCTTGGGGTAGCCTTGGAGGAGAGAGATTTTAAAAGTTAGGGTGGGCCCGGCCGGCGTGGCTCAATGGTTGAACGTGGATCTATGAACCAGGAGGTCACAGTTCAGTTCCCGGTCAGGGCACATGCCCGGGTTGTAGGCTCAATCCCCAGTAGGGGGCGTGCAGGAGGCAGCCTATCAATGATTCTCTGATCATTGATGTTTCTCTCTCTCTCTTCCTTTCCCTTTCTCTCTGAAATCAAAAAAAATATATTTAAAGACAAAAGTTAGGGTGGCGTTTGTTGACCATGTTCATCACCAAGTGTGAAGGCGTTTGGTTCTTTGTGCATCACTCATGCTGTGAATATGAATGTGAATAATATGTAATTATTAATAGAAGAATTTATAATTATTTCCAATCAATGGATAGCATACACGTTAAAGACAACGAGACCAGAAATCAAGCTGATAATATATTTAATACAACATTTTAGAAAATTTTTTTCTTTCATAAAACGTGTTCTAAGAAGTAGAACTTTTTAAAAAGCGTTTTCCAATTTTGGCACATTAAAATGACAATTTTAACATATTTTCTCCTAAGCTAATATTATTATTATTGTTATATTGTGTACCTTACTTTGGTTTTCTTGGGGGAAAAAATAGTTACCTTAATTTGCAGAAGTTTTTAAGAGACTTTCAGTGCACTTCTTTTACAATTTACTAGAGGCCCGGTGCATGAAATTTGTGCATGGGGTTTGTCGGGGGACAGCGGTGTGTGTGTCCCTCAGCCCAGCCTGCACCCTCTCCAATCTGGGACCCCTTGAGGGATGTCCAACTTCCCTGTGGGATTGGGCCTAATAGGCAGTTGGATATCTCTCTCACAATCTGGGACCGCTAGCTCCTAACTTCTCACCTGCCTACCTGCCTGATTGCCCCCTAACCACTCCCCTGCCAGCCTGATCGATGCCTAACTGCTCCCCTGCTGGCCCGATTGCCCCCAACTGCCCTCCCCTGCCAGCCTGATTGCCCCAACTGCCCTCCCCTGCCAGCCCAATTGCCCCCAACTGCCCTCCCATGCCTGCCATCTTGTGTTTACATGGGGCGACCATCTTGTGTGTTGGGGTGATGGCCAATTTGCATATTACCTCTTTATTAGATAGGATTGTGATGTTTGAGTAGGGAGACAACCACTGCGTGGGAATTAAAAGTAGAATCTGCTAAGCTACTTTCAAACTTCTTTCTTTCTTTGCAGAACTTTAGCCCTGATTAAGCCAGATGCTGTTTCAAAAGCTGGAGAAATAATTGAAATAATAAACAAAGCTGGATTTACTATCACCAAACTCAAAATGATGATGCTTTCAAGGTAATTTGTTGATAATTTTTAGTTATGCAATGTCCAGTTTCCTTTTTTAAAAAAAAAAATCTTTTATCATTCATCTCGTTGAAAATTTTAAAATCTCACACTGAATGACAAATAGAATAGTTATCTAATTAGAATGAGAAAACGCAAGGCAGCTGGTGAGCAATAGCTGTCAGATCCTCCTGCCTCATTCCCTGTGTGTTGTCTTGCACAGCCCCATCTGCCGTTATAACTCACTGTGTGCTCACTGTGATCTCCTAACACATCAGTAGAACACTGTATAGAAATGAAAGAAGGAGAAATGAATGTTGCATTATTCCCATTGATATGGGAGTGTTATTGTTTAGATTTTCAAAAGTGATGCATTTGGAAATGTTTGTATTTAGCTCCACCCAACCAACATATATATGTAATTGGGAAATATACCTGTTTACTCTTCCATTCTATCTGAGCAGGTGTTTTCTAAGTTGCTTCGTGAAAACAAGACTTTCCTCTAGCAGGGGCATTATTGTGGCTGGTAGGCACGACTGGGTCTGTTACTCCACTAGTTTTGTGTGTTCAGGGTCAGGTCTCTTCTCACTGCTGTTTTGATATCTAGTCCACCAGACAGTTGCTTTTCTGTCTGTGTGTACAGGGACATGGCTAGCAGCAGCTATTCAACATTGCATTCCCAGGAAACCGTTACAAAACACTCTCAATTTAACCCCAACAATGACAGACATTTAATTTGTGTTTTTTCCCCTATGTGAGATCTCCCAGTTCCCTATTTACCAGGAAGGCAGGAGGCTTCTATTTCAGAGCACAGAGTCTAGAGCTAGTTTGCTTGTAACTGTGCCACTAACCAGGTGTGTGACTATGAACAATTGATTTCTGTGCTTCAGTGTCTTCATCTGTGAAATGTAGGTCATCATAGCACCTGTGCCAGAAAGTTCCTATAGGGCCGACATGAGTTTACTGTATGTCAGGTGCTTTGAGAAACCCTGGCCCATCGTAGGTGTACCTCTGTGTTAGCTGTTACTAGTAGTAGCATTAGTACTAGTGATATCATTATTATTTCGTGGAAACCAAGGTCATGACCCTTTATAAGTGGTCCCATTTGTCCCATTTCTGTAGGCACTGAGATGCTTGCCTTCTAGCAGGCAATGGACTGGATTATGGAGATGCATTTCCGTAGTTTCAGGGAGATGGAACATTTTTTATGTCACCACACTTCCAGTGCCTGGTACTTGGGTATCAAACTTCCCATGCCAGAGATGCCCAAGAAAACTTCTTCCCCTTGTTCATGCCATCTCATGCATCTCTATTAACACTACTGTCGAGTCTTGGCTTTTACCCAACTCAGAAGCTAATGAGGTAGTCTGTTACTCTTTCATGGGTGCTGCAGAAGGCAGGAGACGTCTGGGTCAAAGACAGAGGACCTTGTTGTGGCACAGCAAGCAGCACGGACGTCACGTTTGTGTTGGTTCCTCTTACCTCCTCCAGGTCCATGGAAATAATGTGATATGGGCCCTGGTGGGTGTTGTATGCACAATTGATTACATCGCAGTGCAGAGCATTGAACTTGGGTTACCACTGTTTCATCAGAAGCAGTAAACAAGCCTGCTCTTTGTACTGAAGAGAGACATGACCTCATCCCTCAAAGATAATCACCATGAACAGGACTCTGAGAAGTGGTGGGATAAAGAGCAGTCAGGGCCTCGCATTCCTAGCTTATCCAGTGAGACATGCTAGGTGCACCGGAGACCCATGGGAGGATCTGACAATACTTTAGTCTTCTCTGAACTTACTGGCTCCAGCGTCAGTCCCTCCATTAGCATAGTATCTTAAAGGCAGCAGCTGAGTTTCATCCTACTTGGTCTTTCTAGTTCTTGGATCAAGGCTTCAGTCGAGGTCGACACTCAGTAAATACTTCATGGAAGAATCAGTGGTTAGATCCTCTGATAGACTGGTGTGTTCCTGAATGAAATACAGCAGCTCTTCTCTAGGTGGTGATACACTTGTTAGTATCTCTTCCATTGAAACATTTTAAGGAAGAATGAGATAAGAATGATGGGGAAAATTCATGAACTCTCATTGTGGTTTCTCTTTTAGATTTTGAAAGGAGATAACTGCTGGGCCAGGGACATGTAGGAAAAAATAATGAAACAGTTTTAGTAGTTTATTAAGTTTTTTCTTCTTTTCATTGATATTAGAGATTATGATTATGTGTTTTTCTCTTTTAGTAGTTCAGTTGTGTTGAAAGGTAGAATTGGTTGTTTTGTAGTCTTGCTGCTGACTCTTCTAAAATACCACATTAATGAGTTTTTCTGGCATGCAGTGTTACCTCATTGTAGACTGCAATATATATATCCATTTCAGTTTTGTGAATTCTTCCCCTTACACTCTAGAATTTTTTTTGAAGTTGGTAATATGGCATAAGCAAAAAATGGAAAGGAGGGGGTATTTGAGCAGAATATTTGGTTAAAAAATAATTCACATTCAGATAAAATCAATAGAGGGTTTTATTTTTTATTAATGTAAGCTGAAATAATTCTCTTATGTAATTGCTAACTGTTGTCATTTTTATTATTTTATAGGAAAGAAGCAGCAGATTTTCATATAGACCATCACTCAAAGCCCTTTTTTAAGTAGGTACTGAATTGGAGGCTAATGGAGAATATTCTGGAAAATGAGAGTCATAGTTTTACAATTAAAAGTTTTGTTATATGAGAATAATCTGTCAAAAAGGACCCCAGCAACAGCTTGCAACCGCAAAGAAGTATTTTATTTATTTTTTAATTTTTTTTATTGATTTCATAGAAGAAGGGAGAGATAGAAACATCAATGATGAGAGAGAATCACTGATCGGCTGCCTCCTGCATGCCCCCTATTGGGGATTGAGCCTGCAACCTGAGCATGTGCCCTGACCAGGAATCGAACCATGACCTCCTGGTTCATAGGTCAATGCTCAACCACTGAGCCATGCCAATTGGGCTGCAAAGAATTATTTTCTAAAAATTGGTTTTTCTGTCCTTTTCTTATCTCATCATTAAATATCTTAAACTTTAATAAGAAGCAAATAAGATTATTTGTTTAAATTATAAGGAGCATCACTTTTTTTTAGATTTTAGTAGATTTAACATGTAGTGATAATTATATTTTATGTCTAATATTTATTTCTGCTGTGCTTTTAAACTCTTATTTTGGCATTCTCATATGTATAAATAAATGTTCTCAGAATCCTTACATTTTAAATAATTTTATATACATTTTGTTCTTGAAACATAGCAACAAATATATGTTAGAAACTGAATCTATGTCTTAAATATCTTGGTTGCTTTTATTTTATATTTTATTGTTTTGTTAATCCTCACCCAAGGATATTTTTCCCATTGATATTTTTTTTAAATATATATTTTCTTGATTTTTTTACAGAGAGAAAGGGAGAGGGATAGAGAGTTAGAAACATCGATCAGCTGCCTCCTGCACACCCCCTACTGGGATGTGCCCGCAACCAATGTACATGCCCTTGACAAGAATTGAACCTGGGACCCTTCAGTCTACAGGCCGACACTCTATCCACTGAGCCAAACCGGTTAGGGCCCATTGATATTTTTTTAAAGAGTTGGGAGAGAGGGAGGGAGAGAGAAAGGGGGAGAGAGAGAAAGAGATACATTGATGTGAGAGAGAAACATTGATTGGGTGCCAACTATGGCCAGGGATTGAACCTGTGACCCTTCGGTGAGAAGGCCGAAGCTCTAACTATCAAGCTACGCAGGCCAGGGCTTGGTTTGTTTTTAAATTTAGTTGAACATTGTGCATCTTATATTACTACTAGTGGCCCGTTGCACGAAGATTCGTGCAATAGGCCTTCCCCTGGCTGCCGGCACCAGTTTTCCTCTGGCACCCGGGACCTTTGCTCCTGCCGCAGCAGCAAGGCTTGGCTTCTCCACTCCTGCTGCTCCCAGCCCCTCCTTTTTTTCCCCCCAGCTCCTCCGGTAGAGCCCAGGGCAGACTGGAAGCCTGGGTTCCCCCCGACAACCCAGGCCCCCCGGCGACCCAGGCCCCCCGCCCCTCCTTGAGCAGAGTACAGGGCCTGTGAGAAGCTTGGCTTCCTCCATCACCAAGAGCAACCCAAGCCTCCTGCTCGCTCCAGCTCCGTGGCCTCCGCCATCTTCAGTCATCTTCAGTCTTTGCTCTGTGCCTGCGTATGCAAATTAACTGCCATCTTTCTTTGGTTAATTTGCATAGTCATTCTGATTGGCTGGTGGGTGTAGCGGAGTGGCAGAGTGATAGAGTGATGGTTAATTTGCATGTTTCTCTTTTATTAGTGTAGATTGATAAAGGAGCACTTGTATTTCTAATGAAGAAAGATGTTAGCCAAGCTGCTATGATAGGTGTGCCATTTGGTACCCTACACAGAATAGGAGTTTTAAAAAAAAGCTTGATATAAGAAATGTATTATGTTATACATTGTTTTAAATCAGGCATTCTAAAATGTTCCTGAACCTTGTTAGAATAGGAACATATAATTATCTTGGAAGTTACTCTTTATTATATTCTTTGTATACGTTTATAGCATTATATTGCAGCTCCTGATGTAATGTCTTACATGTAATTAGTATGTGGTGAATTTTATCACATGTATGAATTAACTAGTTTTCGTGTTGTATTGAGAAACACATAACAAAAGACGTAGCTGCAGTCACGGAGGCAGTGCCACAAAGCACCGTCTTTTATGATCAGGCATGCCGTTCCTGCGTTCACCTGCCATGCTCATCCTGCAGCTCATTCTGCTGTGTGCTCAGAGAACTGTGCTACTAGGACATTAGATTATAGGTTTCTTGAGGGAAGCTTCTGTTACAGCCTATTCTGATTTGTAGTAGATGATCATTAAATGCTTATTGAATGGATGAACATATGTTTCTTCTCTTGACTTAGATTCCTTAAGTCTAATTATTTTGGCACCTAAGGCCTAGTAGAATATGTCTGAGAAGGTCATGTAGGCCTTTTAGGATGGAGGATATGAATACTCCTATGTACGTGTTATTTCTTAGAAATATTCAACATAAAATGATTTTTGAAAATATATTTTTATTGATTTCAGAGAGGGAGAGAGAGATAGAAAAGTCAGTGATGAGAGAGAATCATTGATCGGCTTCCTCCTCCTGCATGCCCGACACTGGGGTTCAAGCCCATGACCCAGGCATATGCCCCTGTGGGGAATCGAACCTTGACCTCCTGGTTCATAGGTTGATGCACAACCCCTGAGCCACACCAGCCGGGCAGCATGAAATGATTTAAGAAGTCAGTACTGAAGAGGGTTGGCTCATGGAACATGGTTCACCAGGGCAGGAAGTGTGTGCAACAGTCAAGAGTTAACGGCACAGAAGGGCTGTGGTGCCCTGCTCCTCTCTCCAGGAGGGTCCCGGCCGCTCTTGGCTTAGATGAGAGAGAAGCATGGGCTTTCTTTAAAAAGTAGACTGTCCCCGCTAAGCACAGTAGGAGGAACGGTGTCCCTTATCTCACAGTTAAACTTGTCATTGTTGCCTTGTACACAAATAAAAGTAAAAAAAATGAGGTTTTGTTTTTCATATCTTGGGGTACTGTCTGACTCGGTGTATGTGTAGCTTTGAAATTGAAGATAGGAATAAGTCTGCAGCTTTTATGCTAATAAAAGGGTATTTCTTAAAGGCCTATTGATTTCTTTTTTTATAACTAGACAAACTTAATGTTTATTGATTGAAGCATAGATCAACAGGATGCATTTTAAGGCAGTGAAATAGTCTCAGTCCAATGAAACAGTGATTTTTCTGCTCACAGTAATTGCTTTGATAGCACTATCAATTCAGGCCACTGCAAGACACTTGATTTATGAAAAATGCACCTTGTCCACGTAAAATCCACTATATCCAGTAGTTCTGAGATCGTAATGTCCATGTATTTGTTGAAATATTCAAATTGTAATGTATCCTTGTTGGGAAGAGAGATGCCTAGTCTGACAGAACAATGAAGCAAATCCATCTTTCACCTGTTTCCTAGTGAGCTGATCCAGTTTATTACAAGTGGTCCTGTTATTGCCATGGAGATTTTAAGAGATGATGCTATATGTGAATGGAAGAGACTTCTCGGACCTGCCAACTCTGTGGTGGCGCGTGCGGATGCGCCCGGAAGCATCCGAGCCCTCTTTGGAGCCGACGGCATCAGAAATGCAGCTCACGGCCCCGACTCCTTTGCCTGTGCAGCCCGAGTAAGGTGTTTCAAATACTGTCACTCAGTTTTGGTTTTGGGAACTGTTTGATGTCAATGTTTAGCATTTCCATTGCTGCTGATGGAGGGTGGATTGATACAGCTGATCTCGTAGTAGAGAAAACCTTAACCTTTTGCCTGGGATTAAAGTGTTTCAATGATACATCTCCCCCGGGAGCTGGTAATCTGGTTATGGCCAAGATAAGTTTAAAATATGTATCCCTCTTCTTGTTCCAAAGACTGAACTTACTAAGGCTCATCAATGTTTAAATGACAGAGTTTATGTAGGAATACCAGTTTACAGACAGTGAATATTCAAAAAGAAGGCATCATTGGATATGTTCTGTCCTGGGCTCCTAGCACTCTCTTTCCAAGTTTAACATCTTTTTCTTTCCTATATCTACCTAGTGTTTATGAAAAAGTTTTCCTGCATCATTCCTTGTTTTAAATTCACACAAATAAGGTATTACACTGGGTTTACACTGACATTGAATTAACAAAGTGCAAATTTATTCTTGGCATCATGAGACATTTCTCAGTTCATTTAAGATGGTTTTTAGTCTGGTCATGTTTGCAGTTAAGTAATATTAGACAGTTTTATAATAATTGACTTTTCTTACAAGTTTATTAGTAAATTCCCTCAGCTGGCCTTTCAAACGAGACCTTGAATCTGACCACTGTGGTCAAATCACCATTATATTTTCTTGGCTACTGCAGATGCCGCCTGATTTTTTTCTTTTCTCCTGTTAATAAGTTTATGAAAATTTTATCCTGCCCAAGTAAAATTAACTGTGCCCAGAGGGACCTTCTTAAAAACAAATTGTATTAACAATTGAACTATTGCAAACCCTTCCATGAACTTTTGCCTCTTGTAGAATAGCGTCCAAAGCTCCCCCAACCTGGCCCCTGCCTCTCTCTACACTTAACCTCTCACCAGTCTCTCCCTTACTGTGTCCCAGGTATATGACCATCTTGCTACTCCTAGAATGGCCTTCGGCCTGACTGATTCTGCCTACAGCAAAGAGGGCAGTGTAGTTGGATGGGGGGAGGGGGGAGGGGCACATGAGGTCACAGAAGTGTCATGTGGTCCTGTAGACCCCAGTAGTACAAGACTGTTGGCCTTAATGTATGTTAATTATATCTCAACAAAACTTAAGAAAAACAGTAACAACACTGCTTACCTGTTACCACTTCCCTGATTCTATGCACGGCACCCTTCCTTGATGCTTGCTTCATGCCCACCACATCCCTCTGATTATATATTTAGCCTCCTACTAGACTGGGAATTCTTGAAGATGTCTAATTTATCTTCATACCTCAAGGATCTAGATCACAGGTGTTTTAAAAGTTTTGGAATTGATAACAAACCTAATGTTTATCAAGGCTCACTGTGTGTATCACAGGCATAGTTCCAAGCAGTGGAGTGTCTCATTTAAATCTCAGACATCCTATGCAGTTGCTTGTCATCCTAATTTACTGTTGCAGAAGCAGACTCAGTGAGTTTAGGTACCCGGGCCACATGCTTGACCACCCCCTCCACTGTGTGTGCTGAAGTAGTAGCCTACTCACCGTCTTTTAGAATGTGGAAGTCATAGGAACTAGAGAAAAGAAATTTTGTCATCAATAATTCTGTCAGCAGCATTTACAGTTTACCTATTTATGGCATACTAGAAGCCCAGTGCACGAATTCATCCACCAGTGGGGTCCCTTGGCCTGGCCTGCAGGATCAGGCCGAAACCGGCTCCCTGACATCCCCCAAGGGGTCCCAGATTGTGAGAGGGCACAGGCTAGGCTGAGGGACCCCATCAGTGCATGATTGGGGCCACTGAGGGTCACAGGAGGTTGGCCAGCCGGGGAGGTACCATGGGAGGGCCCCAAGACATGTCCAGCTTGTCTCACTCAGTCCTGATTGGCCAGACCCCAGCAGCAAGCTAACCTACCAGTCGGAGCATCTGCCCCTAGTGGTCAGTGCATGTCATAGCGACTGATCGACCGGTCAGCTGTCTGCCCCCTGGTGGTCAGTGCACGTCACAGCGAGCAGTTGAGCGGCCTTAGCATGTCATTAGCATATTACGCTTTGATTGGTTGAACGGACGACTGGACGAACAGACACCTAGCATATTAGGCTTTTATTATATAGGATTCTTCCAGCTCGTTTTTTTGGTCATTTATGTAACCTGCAAAGTAAACACCATTTTACATGGTTTTAACTTAATTACTTTTTTCACTTAATATTATACCATAAAATTTTTCCATGTCACTAGATTACTGTCAAAAGAGTACATTTTAATGGCTGCAGAATATTCTCTTGGCATGGAAATAACATGATTTACTTAAAAGGTCCCTTTTGAAGATTAGGTTTGAGGTTTTTCTCATATTTGTAAATAAGGGTGCATTGTTCATGCCACTTCATATTGGATTATTTTCTGACAAAAGGGTTTTTATTTGATATTAGGAGAGTATATAGAGAGAAAGTTTGGTATTTTTCAATGTTTTAATCTGGAGCATTTACAAAAATTATATATATATTTTGTATAAAAGCCTAAGTGACCGTTATGACCGAACACTGAGAATGACAGGAATGACCGGTCGACCAGTCGCTATGATGTGCACTGACCACCAGGGGGCAGACGCTCAATGCAGGAGCTGCCCCATGGTGGTCAATGCGTTCCTGCAGCCAACTTCCCGTAACCCCTCCCCCCAGCCAGCCCAGCCTCAATGGGTCCCGATTGGGGGCGGAGCCAGCCAGCCAACCTCCCACGGCCCCTCCCCCCAGCTGGCCAACCTCCTGCAGTCCCTCCCTCCAGCTGGTTCTGCCCCGATGGGCTCCGATCACTGTCCAGACTGAGGGACCCCACCTGTGCACAAATTCGTGCACTGGGCCTCTAGTCCTATATAATAAAAGGCTAATATGCAAATTGTCCCCACGGGTGGGAGTTCGACTGACCAGGAGTTAGATGTGGCTGACCACCAGGTAGTGGCGTGGAACATGGCGGGCGTTGGTGATGCAGTGCTGGCAGTGGGCGGCAGTGGGGGTGCTGCCAGCCCCGATGGCCTGACAAGAGCAGGACTGCAGCAGGGGTCGGGGTCGGTGAGTGGGTGGTGCCAGCCAAGGAGGATGCGAGCAGGGGCCCCTATCGCCCCGCCAGTCACCCCACAGATTGGCCCTGATTGCTGGCCAGGCCTAGGGACCTTACCTGTGCATGAATTTTGTGCATCAGGCCTCTAGTATTTATATAAATTACTATGTAAAAGTTTGGGAGAAACTTTTAACTGGCAAGCATTTATTTTTATGATTAAAGATATGAATGTAGATTAGTTGAATGCTTTAGTGAGGTTAACATAGGATCTTGTCAAGGTGAAATTTATGAAAAAGTGCAACTATATGCTTTACAATTTGTTAAATAAAATATAGTATAAAAGTAATATACTTAAAGCTTATCAAATTGAGTCTGAATTTTATTTAGGGGAGAAAGTTATATATCTTTGTCCTTCCTTACTGGTCAGTTTAGGGAAAAGTAAAGGCTAACAGGAGAGGAGCTTTATGAGAAATATTTAAGCAGCTCAGATCACAAAGTGATATGAAAATTTTTTGTGTAACTTTACTTTCTGTGAAGTCTCTGAATTAGTAAAAGTGTGCTCTTGCAAATGTTAGCTTGGATTAGTAGTGGTAAAAGCTTAGAGATAGGGAAGTGTGTTTAAATAATTAATGGTACTGATGAATGTGACCATCTTCGACTAGTTCACATGGCTGGGTTGTTGTTTCAGTGAACCACGTGTAAAACAACACAGCCTGGCCTGGCTGATGTGCTCAGTGGTTGGTCAACCCATGAACCAGGAGGTCATGGTTCAATTCCCTATTGGGGCACATCCCTTGGTTGTGGGATCAATCCCCAGTAGGGGGCGTTCAGGAGGCAGCAGATCCATGATTCTCTTTCGTCATTGATGTTTCTCTCTCCCCCTCTCCTTTCCTCTCTCTGAAATTGATAAAAACACATTTTAAGAAAACACTGCCTGAATCTAGCTACAAAATATGGTTCATTTAATTTAATTTTATCACAGGACTATAGTGAGTATTTAGTTTTAACTAACAATAGTTCTGATTCTTGATCTCCATTTTACACGTCAAAGTCATTTCTCTCTATTTCTAGGAAATGGAGTTATTTTTTCCTTCGAGTGGAGTCTGTGGACCAGCAAACTCTGCTAAATTTACCAATTGTACCTGTTGCATTATTAAGCCTCATGCCATCAGCGAAGGTAAGTGCTATGTCAAGTACAACATGTCCAATTCATTGTGTTCATAGGAACTTATGAGCAAATCCTTTTGGAAATGAGATGGGATGTAATTTAAAAATCATCCTGAAAAAACTAGAATATCCTATATAATAAAAGCCTAATATGTTAAGTGTCCAGTTGTCTGTTTGGCTGTTCAACCAATCAAAGCATAATATGCTAATGATATGCTAAGGCCACTCAACTGCTCCCTATGATGTGCACTGACCACCAGGGGGCAGACACTCCGACCGGTATGTTAGCTTGCTGCTGGGATCTGGCGGATCGGGACTGAGTGAGACGGGCCAGACATGCCCTGGAGCCCTCCGTCGGTCCCTCCCTGGCTGGCCAACCTCCCACGTCCCTCCCTGGCCCCCTATCATGCACCGGTGGGGTCCCTCGGCCTGGCCTGTGCCCTCTCACAATTCGGGACCCCTCGGGAGATGTTGGTGCCAGGGACCCCACTGGTGCGCGAATTCATGCACTGGGCCTTTAGTACTAAATAATAAACATAATTGAATGGTTTAATTTTTTTCTTAGTATTAAAATAATTCAAGTACACAGTAGAAAATATAAAAAAATTTTAAGTTACTTGTTTTTCATTATCCTGAGAGAGTCATTGTTCACATTTTGATATTTCCTCCAAATCTTTTTATTCTTCATAGGTATGTATATGTGTGTAACTGACACATGTGAATGTAATTAACATGTTCAAGATATAGGTCTATAGGCAGATCCTTGGGACCATAATTAGAGGGGAGCAACATGCATGATGGGTAATAAAAATTTATGGAGAACTTACCACTATGTGCCAGGTAGCAGACTGAACACCTACCTGTACACTATCTCTTTTAATCTCAGCAATCATGTCAAATAGGTGGGTTTGTCATTCTTTCCCAGGTACATGAGGCTCTATGTGAATAAGTCATTTCCCAGTTTAGTAGGGAAGCCAGGATGCAGACACTGGTCTCCTGTCACCTCTGGGTTCTTCCTCTACACCCACTGCTCTGCAGCAGTCACGGCAGAACATGACATGGTGTAGCAGTAACATTTGAAATGGCTGGGGTTGACAGTCTATGAAGAAAATGGGAATTTCATGTTACCCTCACTTTTCTTACCTGGGCATGGACACACACACACACACACACACAACCAATCAATCAATCAATCAATCAATATACAGACACATTCTAATATGATGAGCCAAGTTCCTGTTTAAAGGCCTCAACTTTATAAAAAGCTTATCTTTGGCATCTTAATACATTCAATTTGATCTTTATCTGATTTTATTTTTTCTAAGGAAAAATGTGATGCATGGAAAGAGAAATAAAATAGAATACTAGTTATAGCTCTTAATTGCATAGATAAATATAACAAATCTATTTAAAATGATTATATAATTGAAAGATGATGTCACATGACTAATTTTATATTTACACAGGTTTAAATCATTTTTAGTCAGCTGTTTTTTAAAGATTAACTATATTTCATATATTCATATTTGATACATAGCATTTGAGGTAAATGAGTTAAAGTAAAAGGAAATTTTGTAAAATTTAATCAAGTGGCTAAACAGTTTAAACTTTGGCATTTCAAGTTGTTTTTTTTCCCCCTTTTATTTCTAAACCTCAATTATAGGGATGCTTTAAGACTAGTTTGAAATGTGTAATTAACCCAATTTAGCTTAGAGTTAATAAACTATGGCTACAATAAAATACACTTTAAAGTTTCATATTGAATTTATTATCAGATTCACTTGGCCCCCTTTCAATGGCTGGTTTATGTTTATCTTTTTCTATAATGATCCCATTTCCTGGCATATTTAATTTCATCCAGGCTCTAGTGTGGATCTGAGAGGAAAAGAGGTTAAAGAAAAAGTTGTTGATAAGAGAGCAGCTGAAAAGAAGTTGGGTTGTTCCCTGAGGCTGACCACCAGCTCCCGCAAAGGCCAGGATAGCCTGCTGACCAAGCAAAGCGCAGTTTACTGCTGTTCCAGTAAAGAGAGCACACCTGGGCGGAGCCCCAGGAGACGCCCAAGGGAGAGGTCCTGGGCGGACTTTGTGGAGTTCCAGGTCCACCTTGAGAGATTGAAGGTGGCCTGTGAGTGCAGAGATCTGACGGAAACTGGGCAGAGTTCGTGAGATCCGAGTTTAGGATTCGTGGACACAGTGCGGCAGGGATCTTAACCAAGTCTTCTAAGTACCCAGTTGTTTGATAAGTGAGTTGTTTGCCAAGTTGAGAGGATATTGTGAAAAGGAGATCATTTGAGTAGTCTATTGTTGGTGTAAATGGACTTTGAGGAAGTTCCTGACACGTACAATGAAGTCATTTACTGATTTACAGCCTTATCTTTGTGGCTAGGAATTTCTTAGCATAAATAATAAAGTCATGCGGATGTAGGCGCCTTAGTTCTTAGTCCTGTGGTTAATCTGTATGGATTCAGTGGTTGGCTTCTCACTTCTGAGAGAGCTAGGGAAAAATACAGAGCGTACAGAGCGTGGTTTGTGGACTAGATGGTGGCATTCGCGGTCTTGTTATCTATGTCAATTGAAATATATTTTGTCATTTGGAGGACTCAGATTTTAAAAGGGAAGAAAAATAAGGCGAATATTTTCGTGTTCTTTTTTAACTTCAAGATGATGCAGTGCGTTTGTTTTGATGTCCTCAGTATTACTTATATGTAGTTAGTTCAATTCCATTGATAAAATAAGTTAATTTTACCCTGAAATCAGGCTCCACAGGCTTGAATCCTGGCTCCACTACTTATTCTCCATGGGCTGTTAGGTAACTGACTTAGGTTAATCTCTTTCCACCTTATGTCCTCATCTGTGAAGTGAGATTAGCAGTTTCCCTTCTTCGCAGAGTAACTATGCATTAAATGTAATAGTTAATAACTAACGTTAATTAACTATAAGGACTGTCCCAGGTCCAGTGCCCAGCTGAGCTGAGTGCTGCATCAGTGTTGGACATTCTTACTGTGATGAGTACTCCTCTACCGCTGCTATGACTCCTACTAGTAATTCCTTCGTAACAATGCAGTGGCTTAAAATGCTAACAAAATCTGTCACCCACAGAAAGAAAGAAAATCCATCTCATTGTTTAAGGAACTAAGCGCTGTCCTCAGTTAAAGTCTGGTGTAAGGGAAGTCCGTGGAGCGGTCATTGCTTCTGTCTGGCTGACTGGCAGCGTCCTCCATTACCTGCCCTGATGGCCCGTGAGGCTGGCACTGGGCACGAGGAGGTGGCAAATCGGGAGAGCGGCCTCTACACTTGCCATGACCCCCACGTTAGCCTTTTGAAGTATGAGAGCC